AAAAAAAAAAAAAAACATGTGGAACATTGAATACACTATGACTTTTGACCTTTGGGAGACAGAATAAAGGCAAACTAAAAAGATAAGGCATGAGACAGGGCAATCATGAAGACTGGAGCTGTTTGTAAATGCTCCCAGAAGCTGAGCGTTGCCAAGAGAATGTACATGTTTTGTATTCTCTCCTGTTCCTTGTGAATAATCTGTTTAATTAGCCGTAGTTTTACCATTTGTAAGTTGTGTATCTTTTGCAAATCAGTATACTAGTGCATAGTCTCTCCTGCCACTTTTCTTTTTTTTAGAGACAGTCTCACTATGTTGCCCTCAGTACAGCTCACAGCAACCTAAAACTCTTGGGCTTAAGCAATTCTCTTGCCTCAGCCTCCCAAGTGTAGCTGGGGCTACAGGTACCTGCCACAACACCCAGCTATTTTTTGGTTGTAGTTGTCATTGTTGTTTGGCAGGCTTGGGCTGGATTCAAACCCGCCAGCCCTGGGGTATGTGGCTGGTGTCCTAGTTGCTGAGCTATAGGCACCAAGCCTCTCCTGCCATTTCTTGTGTATTACTGACATTAGTGTACTTTTCAGCTGAGTATGATACATCAAAACTGCTATTGTAGTACTTTAATAATTAGATATAGAAAGCAGACTAGTTGGGTGGCACCTAGTGAGTGTGGCTCAGTGAGTAGGGCGCCGGCCCCATATACCAAGGGTGGCGGGTTCGAACCTGGCCAAACTGCAACAAAAAAATAGCCGAGTATTGTGGCAGGCACCTGTAGTCCCAGCTACTTGGGAGGCTGAGGCAAGAAAATCGCCTAAGCCCAAGAGCTGGAGGTTGCTGTGAGCTGTGACGCCACAGGATTCTACCAAGGACAACAAAGTGAGACTGTCTCTTAAAAAAGAAAAAAACTGGTTTATAATCCCTGTGTGGACACGTAGGAATTGTATAGATGAAATCAATGACTTTGTCTTCACTGAGGGAAATGGTTACAGGGTAACTTGTCCTGTTCAACAGTTAGAAGCCTAGGTTTTATGGTGTGTAATAAAACACTTCCTGAACTTAACATTTTCACTACATTGACCAATCAGAACAAAAATTTTAAACATAATTTTTTAGTGAATCCAATTTATATGCTATGAAATACTAGCACTATCTGTCTGTTAATAGTAGTCCTAGAATTTGATAATGTCATAATGAAATTTAATAAGCTTTGTTAAATTTATGAGAACATTGTATTTTTTAAAAGTACCTACTATGGAGAATTTCCTACTCTAAACAGCACCCAGCCCTAAAACTTCAGATCCTGTCCTGTCCACATACTCATCCACTTCCTCCTCTAATATACTGAAACGCTCATCAGGCATCATTTTATCCATAAATGCTTCATATATCTCTAGATTTAAATTTTTTTTTTTTTTTGAGATAGGGTCTCTGTTGCCTAGGCTGTGGTACAGTAGTACAATCACAGCTCACTGCGCCCTCCAATTCCTGGTCTCAAGAAAATCCTCTTTCCTAAGCCCTCTTAAGTAACTAGGCCTACAGGCAAGCATCCTGCCTGCCTACTACGGCCTGCGGGCCACATGCAGCTCGCCTAGGATATTTATTGGGCCTGCCGGGTGTTTTTGCTGCCACTGCCTGTCCTGCTTAGCAGCCCACTCGTCCTGGGGCCCACAGTCTGGCCCTCCAGCGGTCTGAGGGACAGTGAACTGGCCCCCTGCCTAAAAAGTCTGAGAACCCTTGCCTACAGGCATACCACCATACCCTGCTAATTTATTTTTCTTAGAGGCAGGGTCTTGCTATATTGCCATGGCTGATCTCAAACTCCTGACCTCAAGCAGTCTTCCTGGGTTCGCCTCCCAGAGCACTGGAGTTACAGGCATGAGCCACCACATCTGACCTTTTATCTCTAAAAGATAAGAATTACTCCCTTTTTTTTTGTTGTTGTTAACATAACCATAATACCACTTAATCTCTCATATCCTCTAATCTTCATATTTCCATTTGTCTCATAAATGTAATGTTTAAAGGACTTAGAATTCAAATAAGCACTAGATGTATTATTCATGTATGTTAGGTTTTTGTTTTGTTTTGTTTTTTAAGAGAGACAGAGTCTCACTTTGTCACCCTTGGTAGAGTACTGTGGCGTCACACAGCTCACAGCAACCTCCAACTCTTGGGCTTAGGCAATTCTCTTGCCTCAGCCTTCCGAGTAGCTGGGACTACAGGTGCTCGCCACAATGCCCGGCTATTTTTTTGTTGCAGTTTGGCTGGGGCCGGGTTTGAACCCGCCACCCTTGGTATATGGGGCTGGTGCCCTACTCAGAGAGCTTCAGGTGCTGCCACATTTATATAAGCTATTAATTTTCATTTTTAAAGACTGCTTCTGAAAATTGTGTAAAATATAATTACATAAAATATTTACATAGGTCTAAAGTCAAATGTATCAATTGTACTAAACAAGGTAACTTCACAGAAGTCTAGCTTTTATCCATGTCCATTCTACCTATTTCTTTCTGTTCCTTGTAGACAGACATTTAAAAGTTTATAATTTATTTCATTTTAAACAGATAAGTATGTATATTTACAGCATCCCTATTAAGTGATGGCAGCTTACACTATGAATCCTTTTTCTTTTTTTGTACCTATTAACATTATATCCTGGAGTTTATCTCATCACATATTTAGAGGTACTTTGCCCACCATTTTTCAAGCACCATAATACTCTGGTGTGGATATATTATAGTTTATTCAACTAGTCTCTATCTTACGAACATTTAGGTTCTACTCTTTTGATACTACAAATAATTCTACAGTTATTAGTTGGGTACATGTCTTATGTTTTGCTCAGGTACCTGTGAGAGATTCCTAGAAATAGGATTGATAGTCCACGAGTAACACATACATAACTTAGGTAGGTAGGCTACATGAAATATCCCTGCGTAGGAGCTGACCCTTTGCCCCCCTACATGTGCTACGTGTGATTATGCTCCCCATAAACTGGTCAACAGAAAATCTTGTCATGCCTTTATAGTTTTGTTAGCCTAATAGCTGTGGAAATTTATCTCAGTACAGTTTTGCAATGTATTTCTCTTATTTTAAGCAAGATATATATATTTTTTCTTTACAGTAATATTTCACTAATTACTAATCTGAATTTTTTGTTTAAAAGAATGCAAATGTGGGGGAGAAAGTTCTGTATGGTCTCTATGGTATAGTGGAACACACTGGCTCAATGAGAGGAGGTCACTACACTGCTTATGTGAAAGTGAGAACACCCTCCAGGAAATTATTGGAACATATCACTGGAAAGAAAAATGTGTTTGGTAAGCTATCCAGAGTTTATTTCATTTATTGAAAAATTCATTTTTAATTGATACATGATACACATAGTTGTATATCTTTATAGGATACATATAATTTGATACAGGCATACAGTATGAATTCATCAGGGCAATTAAGGTATCCACCACCTCAGACATTTATTATTTCTTTGTGATAGGAACATTACGGTTCTACTTTTTGTTATATTAAAGTATATCCTAACTTATTGTACTTATTGTTGATTATGGTCACTTTGTTGTGCTATCAAGTATTATTCCTAACTATATTTTTATCCCCACTAACCATTCTCACTTTATCCCCCCGTCCCTTCCCAGCCTCTAGTAACCATTCTGCTGTCTCTGAGATCAACTGCTTTTAATATTTAGCTCCCATACAAATGAGAATGTACCAGATTTGTTCTGTTTCACTTATTTGACATACTTAATGTTCTCCAGTTCCATCCATGTTGTTGCAAATGGCAGGATTTCATTCTGCTATATAATATTCCTTTGTAATGTATGTACCACAATTTCATCATTCATCTGCTGATGGACACTTGTGTTGTGATTCCAAATCTTGGCTATGTGAATAGTGCTGCAGTAAACATGGCAGGGCTGATATCTTTTTTTATACACTGAATTCTCCTTCTTTGGATATTTACGTTCTCAGGGATGCCCCTTTTTCTATATCCTCAGCAGTGTTCACTGTTGCCTGTCTTTTTCATAAAAGCCATTTTAACTGGGGTGAGATGATCATCATAATTTTGATTAGCTTTTTTTTTTTTTTTTAAGACAGGGTATCACTTTGTCACCCTTGATAGAGTGTAGTGACATCATAGCTCACAGCAGCCTCAAACTCGTGGGCTCCAGCGATCCTCTGGTCTCAGTTTTTATTTTTAGTAGAGACCAGGTCTCACCCTTGCTCAGGCTCATCTCAAACTACTGAGCACAAGCAATTCACCTTCAGCCTCCCAGAGTGCTGGGATTACAGGAGCCACCATGCCTGGCCTCATTTGCATTTTTCCGATGACTAATGAACATTTTTTTAATACCTGTTGGTCACTTTCTTTTCTTTTGAAAAATGTCAATTTAGATCCTTTACCTATTTTTATTTATTTATTTTTATTTATTTATTTTTTTTTTTGAGACAGAGCCTCAAGCTGTCCCCCTGGGCAGAGTGCCGTGGCATTACAGCTCACAGCAACCTCCAACTCGTGGGCTCAAGCGAGTCTCCTGCCTCAGCCTCCCAAGTAGCTGGGACCACAGGCGCCCGCCACAACGCCCGGCCATTTTTTGGTTGCAGCCATCATTGTTGTTTGGCGGGTCCAAGCTGGGGATTCGAACCCGCCACCTTAGGTGTACGTGGCTGGCGCCTTAGCCGGTTGAGCTATAGACGCCGAGCCCTTTACCTATTTTTAAAACAGATTATTTGATTTCTTCCTATTAGATGGATAGTTTGCAAATATCTTCTATTCTGTGGGTTGTCTCTTCCCTTTGTTTTTTCTGTTGTGCAGAAGCTTTTTAGCTTGATATGATCCCATTTGTCCAGTTTGGCTTTGGTTGCCTGTACTTCAGGGGTATTACTCAATAAATCATTGCCCAGGCCAATATCCTGAAGCATTTCTCCAGTGTTATCTTTTGGTATCTTGTACTTTCAGGTCTTAGATTAAGTCTTTAATTCATTTTTGTTTTATTTTTGTATATGGCAAGAGATAAGGGTCTAGTTTCATTCTTCATGGGTTCCCAGCTTTCCAAGTACCATTTATTGAAGAGTCTGTTTTCCCACTGTATTTTTTGGCACCTTTGTCAAAGATAAGTTCACTACAGATGTGTATGTTTATTTCTGGGTTATCTGTTGTGCTCCATTAGTATGTTTCTTATCTGGCCTCACAGAGTGCTAAGATTACAGGCATGATCCACTTTGCTGTGCCACCCTGATTGATTTCATTATGTTGAACCATCCTGGCATCCTTGAGGTGAATCTCACTTGATTGTGATGAGCAGCCTTTTTGATGTATTGTTTAATTCAGTTTGCTAGTATTTTGAGTATTTTTTTTACATCTGTGTTCCTCAGAGATTGGCTATAGTTTTCCTTTTTTGGTTGCGTCTAAATTTATTTTATTATCAAAAATGAATGCATTCCTCCTTTTTTGGAAAAGATAAGTTAGTTTACAGATACCTGAGTATATTCATGTTAAATGAGAATTATGAGACTACTTAGAGCATCTCAAATATCATGATGTTCTATCCTTCTAGGTGATATCAAGTGATACAGTTTTTCAAGGTATTGAGTTTTCATGTATTGCAGTGAACTTATATATTTAATGAGGCCAAATTTTTTTTGAAGATACACCAGGTTCTTAGAATACAATTGGAGTTTAAAATTTGCTGGCTCTGTTTCTGGGTCATTTAACTTTGCTTTTTTCTTTCTCTTTTAGTGGAAATTATTCTTTTCCCTGAGCAATTAAGTACAAGGCTAATATTTCACTACATGATTAAAGTGTTACTATCTAGAGATAATTATTATAATAGTAAAACATTTAAAGAATTATTTTTGAAAATGCTTAATCTGAAGAGGAAACAGACTCCTCAGTAAGATTTAGCATTGGATACATATAATGAGTAGTAAATCACAATTTATGCTTTAGAGTAAGAACATCAAACATACTTATTATAAAATTGTACTTTTTGTTTTGTTAGGTTTGAAAGAACCTGGTACTGAATCCGCAGGCCACTGGGTCCATGTTAGTGACGCCTCCGTGCAAGTGGTTCCGGAATCAAGAGCGCTCGGTGCACAAGCTTACCTTCTTTTTTATGAAAGACTATTGTGATTATTAACGGCAGTAATTATTTAGGTCATTTATTTGAATGCGCAGTGATGCCCATAATCTATGTACATATAATGTGCCTTTGTCCTCTCCTCTCTTCTGTAGGAATAGCCGGTCCCTCAAATGCTTCTGAACTTTTCACCATTTCGGTGAACCCTTTTAAAGTAAATTTACTCAAAGCTTTCAAATCTACATTCTTAAAATAAATGTAAAAATGGTTTTTCAAAATATTTGTCCTAGGGAGACAAAAAATCCCCAGGATTTATAAGAGGAAACCCTTTTATGATGTGGTCTGTTATTAATAAGCATTCAGAAACAGTGCTGGCTAAATGAAATTCCTTGAGGCAGTGTTTCCTAAATGTAATACCACTTTCCTAATCTCATATTCTGTATCACTTTATTTTAACATTTTTAGCCTTAATTTTTTTAACCTTAGCCTTGTTTTGAGCAATAATATTCCATGTTTTATGTGCTTTTAAAACATATAGCTATTAAAGATTGTTCATCCATGTACTTACTACTCCACTTAAAATCATCTCAGGGCTATTGATGGTATTTGTGTGCCACTGTTCGGGGAACATGACTAGAACGCATAATTTCACAAAGTAACACCTAATATGGCATAGTGACCTTGTCAAGTTTTCTATGATTCAGTTATATAAAAAGGTTATCACTGCAATTTCAGTAATATGGATTTACAAATAATATTTTATTGATTTCAGCCTTTGAGAACTAGAAATATATTGAGATGTTCCTTTGTAGCCTGTTATGGTAGAGTTAAGGATGATTTGCAAGTGATTTTCCAAGGTCAAAATATAGATAATTATAACATGTAGAATTGGTAATTAGAAGTTGATGATCTGTATAGAATCACAAGATACCTTTATATATAAAAGTGTCAACTTATATTTGTAAATGATAGATTATATTACTTGGAAAATTTTTTACTTTTGTATTTCAGTAAATATTAAACATGATTTGGCAGGTTTAAGATTATTTTTGTCTTTAACAAACATCCTTGCTGGACGAGGTGGTGCGTGTGGCACCTGTAGCGCCTGCTGTCCCAGCTACTCGGGAGGCTGAGACAGGAGGATGGCTTGAGTCCAGGAGTTCTGGGCTGTAGTGTGCTATGCTGATCCAGTGTCTGCACTAAGTTCGGCCTCAATATGGTGACCTCTTGGGAACGGGAGGCCACCAGGTTGCCTAAGGAGTGGTGAACCAGTCCAGGTCAGAAACGGAATAGGTCAGAACTCCCATGCTGATCAGTAGTGGGATTGTACTTGTGAGTAGCCACTGCACTCCAGCCTGGGCAACATAACGAGACCCCATCTCTTAAAAAAAAAAAAAAAAAAAAGAAACAAACAAAAAAACATCCTTAATAAGTTCGGATTTAGCTTTTATTTCAATGGGTCATAAAGCTGACATTTCTCACTTTCTTTTAAAAATAACAGCAATGATAGTTTTTCCCCTCCAGAATATAAATTATTAGGCAGTATTAAGGTGTCAAAACTTTGCATGAAAATATTACTATTTTCTTTTTGAAATATGCATTTTAATTTATTTTTAAGAATATATTTATATTTTTAAAACAGGACATGTACTGTGTAACTTAATAGCATGGCTGACATAGACCAAGTCTACACTGGTAAACTTTCAAGAACCATTTACTATGTTGTCAGTAGTATCAGCACGGGCAGACGTAAAAATAAATAATGAACTTTGGGAAGAACGGTAGTGTTTGATGCTTCTCCTTTACCTGTCCTTGTAGACACTATATGGCAGGAACACCCTCCCAGTAGTGACATGTACATAGTTCCAGGTTTCCATGACAGAAATGGCCCAACCCTTTCAAACAGCCTCCCAACTTGGCTGGCAACTGCAGGTGTAGAACTCGGGTATAGTGGGCATCAGGGATGGGGACTGGCCCCAGAGGCAAACTGTAAAGAAACAAGGCACTGCTCTATCAAACGGAATTGTACACACTTTAACAAAGGAGCTGCCAGCCTCCCTGTTGCCAGGCACCATCTGCTGCCGAAGAGGTGTGTTGGGTGCCACTGCCCGCTGCTTGCTGGGCACTCGGGAGCTGTCTTAGGGAGCCTCTCTCTGCTTCACTGTCTCCGACTGGTCATCTCCCTTTGTCTGTCACGTACTCCATGAATTTCTGCCCCCCTCACCACAGATACCTTTGAATGTTCTTGTTCCCACATCTCAGTTTGTGCCTTAGGGGGTGTCTTCTGGCGTTTGGCTCTTTGCTTTTTTTCTTCTAGAAGGTTTCCTCTCCGATTTGTAAACTGAAGTGGATCTGAAGGTTTTCTCTCAAATTCTAAGAAAAACCTCCAGTTTTCTTCCCGTATCTGAGCACCCTCAACGAGTCCCTTATGAGTTTCATAGTTCCTTAGCCACACAAGCTTAGCATCACAGAACTCGAGCAGATCTTACGTGTAGTCCTCAGCATAGTAAGAAGTAAAAACTCGTCTCTGCTCATGGCTGTAAAGCACAGGTCCCTGCACTCAGCCAGCTCCACTGGTATTACCTCAATCATTTTCTTCATGTTTTGTATTTTCTGTTCTTCTAACCAATCCACTTCTAATTACAGTGATTTCCTGACCTGGATCTTTAACCTAGTCATAACCACGGTCACAGCTTCTTTTCTGGTATTTGCAACCTGTCCCAAAGCTCTTAGCATGGAGTCCTTCACATGCTGCTTCATTTTGTGATTTTTCCATTTTCAGCTGCTTTTGTAGTGATGCAACATTCTCCAAAGATGAACAGAAGGTCTTCATCCTCACACCCCACAGCACTTTCAGAGCTTGTATCGGGGCTACGATCTCATTCTTCTGTTCACTGCACGTCTTCATGTTGACAAACTCCAAGTGCCCTTTGTTTCTCTCAATGTTGCTATGAGCTGCGTTATGTTGTCCGAGCTGCTTTAGGTTTTCTAATCTGGGAACTGAAGTGCTGTCAATATCATAGTGGGGGCATAAAAGAATTTCAGAGTTCTTGATCTTGTTTCTGAAGGAGCTTCTACTCCTTTCTTTTCCACTTCTGTTTCCACGTCCATTCCACTTGGATGTACAAATCTTCTAGTCGCAGGGTAGTTTTCTCTCCTCCTCCTCATGATGAATGCTCTAAGCAACTGGGCATTGAGGCTGCTGACTTATTCTATGGGACCCAAGCATAGCAGCCACCTGCAAAGACCCATGGTCTCACTCTGGACAGCTACTCCTGAAAAATATTACTATTATGTAGCTTAAGTCTTAACAAATATTGGCCACTTCAGTGTCATATTATTGAATTAAGACATAATTGCACTGGGCACAGTTGCTCACACCTGTAATCGTAGCACTCTGGGAGGCCACCCTGTCTGGCCTGAGGTCAGACAGGATTGTCTGAGCTCATGGGTTTGAGAGCAGCCTGATCAAGACCCCATCTATAAAAATAACTGGGTGTTGTGACAGGTGCCTGTAGTCCCAGCTACTTGGGAGGCTGAGAAAAGAGAATCAATCACTTGAGCCCAAGAATTTGAGGTTGCTGTGAGCTATGACACCAGGGTACTCTGCCCAGGGGGACAAAGTGAGACTGTCTCAAAAGAAAAGCATGGTTTAGGTATCCTGATCATTAGTGCCAATGAATGTTACTACTATAGGCAAGTAGTCTAGTCCCAGTTCATTCTCTAGGAAGTACAAATAATAGTAGCTGTAGGTAATATGTGGAAATATCTGACCAAGATCGACTCTTTAACATGTGTTAACATTGTCAAGGTTACCCGTGCTCACTTTGATGTCTTAGGAAATAGAATTTGATTGCTGTCAAAGATGGTAATAGTATACAGGGCACAGAGCTTAAAAATGTCATTGCATAAATTCTGTTTGTAAGTAGAAATTTCAATAGTGTTCTTGATTTTTCAACAGTAAAACATTGGAGAAATAGCTTTACAAACTAGTATCCAAGGTCAGGTAGTATCCTTTGAAAAGTGGTTTATAGTATTTTGTTTCATTGTAATTAATGTTGAAGATTTCACTACCAGAACAGTGACTTTTTTGAAAAATATTCAAGTCAGGCATCTTAGTAATGGTAGTTTCCACCCCATTTTTCCTCAGACAAATGTAAATATTAGGTCACCTCAGTTTTCTCCTAGAAAAGACAATATTAGGCATACACTTTTCATTGGATAATCACCTGTTTCTTGTTTCAAAGACAGATATTTGGAAAGATACCTACATATACCTGCTATGCTGACACTACTTTTAACATATTTTAAAATGGAAAAACCTGTAGAGTTTAGACATTATTCCAGAAGTTCCATGCAAATAAGATACTTTTGCTTTTGTTTCATTAGTGTTACATGAGCAAATTCTGAAATCCATTTTTTATGGCCTAGAGTTAATGACTGCTTTTTCCTTATCTTCTGAAAGATAAAAAAGTTAATTTTGATACCTAAGAATTTCCTAAAGATGGCTTTTATAGTAGAGAACACAAGTTAAATTATACATGGATCTATATTTAAGGAGTTTTTTTTCCTTTTTTTTTTTAAGACCAGGTCTCATTCTGTTGCCCAGGCTATAGTGCAGTGGCATCATAGTTCACTGCAATCTCAAACTGTTGGGCTCAAGCGAGCCTTCTGCCTCAGCCTCCTGAGGAGCTGGGAGTATAGGACTTCACCACCACACCCAGCTAATTCTATTTTTTGGAAAGACCAAGTCTCACTATGTTGCTCAGGCTATCCTTGAATTCCTGGCCTCAAGTGGTCCTCCTACTTTGGTAAATTTGTTTTTATTTTGAGTATTTCCAAAGCACATTTGCAGGAATATTGTGAGGCTACTGTAATAAGTTTCCACATCATCTCAGGAAACAGTGCAAATAAGAATGTTTACACACCATCAAACTACCATAGTGTTTGAACAGGGGAATTTAAAATGGAAGTGTCAATGGCTTTATTCTATACAGGGTATGTCCAACCCCAGTTGTCCCTGTTTTTTTAATATATAAAATGATAAAATGTTTATGTGCCAATTATGTGAATATTTTTGTGATGAAATGTATATCTATACTTTGTCATTTAATGTTTTTAAAAATTGTAAAGACCACCATTTTAGGTGGCCAAAGAGTGTGATAGTTATCAATTCAAAGAGTAGTTGGCACCTATTCTTATTTCAAATGTATCAACAGGGCTGTTTT